CAGCTTGTTGCAGAAGTAGCATCTTTGATTTCATCCAAGATTTCTTTTTTTAGAGTATCATTTTTAAAGAAATTTGGGTCAAATCTCCAAAGTGTTGAGTGCCTAGGTTTTTGTTTTAGGCTTAGAATGCATTCGACTAGGAGATGATCAAAGTTTTCAAATCTTATTTTAGTTTCTGATTTGAGATAGCTGTAGTTTTCATCTATAAAGATGTAGTCTAGCCGAGTGGCTATTAATTGGTTGTTATGTGTATTTTGATGGAATGTGTAAAAGGGATTTCATTTAGAGAATGTAGCTGAGTTGATAAATTCATTTGTGATTTCATTAAGTAGTGTCCTTGAGAGGTTATTTTGAAAGGTTGCCTGACTCATTCTATTGATGTCTGGGTTCAAGTTTGTGTTTAGATCCCCTGTGATAATATTGATCATGTTTTCTTTTTTGTCTATATTCCAGTTGTTGAAGAATTCAGTTCTATTTAGGATGTTTGGTGGTGTATAAACATTTATTACATGAAAGGAGAATTTCTTAAATGTGAAATATGTTGAGATTATTCTGTCTTCTTGTAATATCTTGGTGTTGTTAAATTTTATAGTTTTGTTTCCTGTTAATATTGCTGTTTTGCCTGTTCAGATTGAGTCAAAAGGCTATTGGTCTTTTAAAAATTGTTAGGTGGCAGCATTAAAAGTATTTGTTTCTTGTAAAAAAATAATATCTAATCTATAAGATTTTAAAAATATTAATGTTTTAGTCCGTTTGTCTAAATTGTTTAAACCTTTAACATTTAACATAGTGATTTTGATTGAGTGATAGCTTATTAAAGATAGATTATTTAGTTTTAGAGCTTCTATTGGCTCTTTGTTTTGGGTCATCCTGATAATTTTCTTTGTTGATTACTTTGTAAGGCTTTGAATCTTTATGTTTTCTTTTTTTGCACACAACTAATATAAAAGTAGGATCATCTACTTTTTCTTGGTCATTTGGTTGCATGTTTTTCAAATTTGTATTGTTAGTTGCTGATCCTTGTGTTGTATTAAGGTTGTTTTCGATAGAAATTTCTGTGCAAACAGTATCTGTTTTGCTATCCATATCATAATCTGATGTAATTTCTTCTGTTACTTGTTCTTGTAAGCAGGTTTCATTCATGTCCATGTTTTGGATTTCTTTTTGAATTGAAAGATTTTTTACTTCTTCCATATATGGGTTATCCTCTGTTGGGTTTTTAATCAATACTCTGTCTTGTATACTTTTTCTTTTAAATTCTTGATATTATAGTCTTAGATTTTTTATTTCTTGAAATTGTGCACAGTCTTTTTTAATGTGCCCTGTTTGGTCACAGAAATAACAGACTTTTGGTGCCTCTTTCTACTCAGTAGTCACTCTATTATTATGTGAAATGAGAAATTCTTTGTTCTAGTTTTGAGTCTTCAGTATTATCGAAGATAATGATCTATTGATCTGTCATATAAGAAGTGCTTTTGATAAGTAGAGGTTTAATTAAGACAATTTTCACAAAATTTTCAAAGGCTTCTTTCACCAAGCTGAAGATGCATTCTTTGGTACGTTTCTTACTTTAATTGGTAAAAAGAATTTGCAAGCATTTGTTTTTTTTTTATATTAATGGTGAGGCCATGCCTTTAACTTTATTAAAATTCAATTGAAGTTTTTACAAAGAAAAGCTTGCTTTTAAA